AGAAAGTAGCAGCAGGAGTAAATAAAGCAACCCTTGTTGATTCGTTTCTGGAAGGAGCTTTAGCCTATCTTGAACAACACCAAGTGGCGAAAGCTATAGATATTATGCAGGGAATTGTACTGTATGTTGCTCAATCTGATGAAATAAAAGATAAAGCAGCCGCTGCTGAAGAGATGATCCAAGGAGCTTTGACGTATCTTCAAGAGGACAAACTAGAGAAAGGTACGGAGATGATCCGTGAAGCTGCGAAGTATCTTGAAAACGACGAGGATTACAAAGCAGCAATTGGCAAGGGGAAAGGAGCGAAGTATCTTGAAAAAGGTAATGCAGAAAAAGGAATATTAAAAGCACATTTTGTTGAAGAGGTTCTAAAGGGAGCTATGTCCTATCTTCAAGCAAATCATTTGGTCAAAGCTAAAGACGTAATTCAAGGAGTGCAACAGTTTATTGCTCAGGATAATACATTAAAAGATAAACGTGCCACAGCTGAACAATTGCTCAATGGAGCTTTTGGCTATCTTGAACAAGAGAAATCAGGGAAAGCGCAAAAAATAATCCAGGAAGCTATAGAGTATCTTCAAAACGACGAGGATGTCAAAGAAGCAAATAAAGTCTTTAAAGAAGCAGAAGCCAAGGAAGCTAAGTTGAGAGGAGTGAAGTATCTTGAAAAGGATGAAAAGGAGAAAGTAGCAGCCGGAGTAAATAAAGCAAACCTTGTTGATTCGTTTCTGGAAGGAGCTTTAGCCTATCTTGAACAACACCAAGTGGCGAAAGCTATAGATATTATGCAGGGAATTGTACTGTATGTTGCTCAATCTGACGAAATAAAAGATAAAGCAGCCGCTGCTGAAGAGATGATCCAAGGAGCTTTGACGTATCTTCAAGAGGACAAACTAGAGAAAGGTACGGAGATGATCCGTGAAGCTGCGAAGTATCTTGAAAACGACGAGGATTACAAAGCAGCAATTGGCAAGGGAAAAGGAGCGAAGTATCTTGAAAAAGGTAATGCAGAAAAAGGAATATTAAAAGCACATTTTGTTGAAGAGGTTCTAAAGGGAGCTATGTCCTATCTTCAAGCAAATCATTTGGTCAAAGCTAAAGACGTAATTCAAGGAGTGCAACAGTTTATTGCTCAGGATAATACATTAAAAGATAAACGTGCCACAGCTGAACAATTGCTCAATGGAGCTTTTGGCTATCTTGAACAAGAGAAATCAGGGAAAGCGCAAAAAATAATCCAAGAAGCTATAGAGTATCTTGAAAATGACAAGGATGTCAAAGAAGCAAATAAAGTCTTTAAAGAAGCAGAAGCAACTACTACCAACTTCACCTTCTTTCTATCTGGAAGATAAAGGTATTCAAAATTCCTTCATCTTCAGTTAACCAACCCAAAACTTCCCCTAGTTGTTCTCCAATAAATTCTGGTATCTCCACCTTAAGTCACAAATCTTAATCACAATCAACATTCTGATTATAATTAGTGGTCAATGCAAAGGGAAAGTTTCATCTATTTCATTTGAAATCTCTGCCAACGGCTGCTATTGCTGAAATATTTCTAGAACGCATTGGTCACATCTGTTTGATGGTTTCTTTTCCTACCAACGGCATGATCTAGTCGATAAATAACTCCAAACCTAGATTTTTTAAATCTGAAATCAAAAAAAGCCTGATATACTAATAAAACAACCAATCCTTTGTTACAAAGCCATATTGTTCTATCAAAATGTGATCTTCAAGACTGCAGGTACTGTCTCTTTTACAATTTGATTACTAATGATTCTTCCTCCTCCCTAAACAGACTTCTAATGTTTCCTAAAACAACGGATGACTCTTTTCATATTCCTAAGTAACTTCTTAGCATTCGCACTCCCTAATATCCCTTTATAAGGAAACAAACGGACTCTGACAAATGTTATAAATGTTTTGTATCAGTATCAATAGTGAAAACAATGAGACCGATACAAGACGTTGGCAATTGTTAACCACAGTTTTAAGAGTGCAACAGTCAAGTTTAAAATACACTTAGGATGAAACAAAATTGATCATCAATGGATGAAGCTTGTAATCTTTATCATGATAGATACCTTACATCGGAACCATGCACCACGAAAACCTGGAATAAATGATCTTGATTCTACCTCTTGGCCAGCTATAAATGGTAGGTCATGCACGCCCATGATGATCCGTCAAAAGCAACATATAGCTGTGACATGAACATTTCTAAGTTGCATGCAAATTTGCTCAAGCTCATTACTTGCTTTAAATATATCAACAGTTAAGCAGAAATAGCAAATCACTCAGTCAAGAGCTAAACAACCATGTGGAGACTTGTTCTTGGATTAAAAGCTACATAGTATGGATGTATATGTAATGGTCACATATCCAATCAAATATGGAACTTGTTGGGTACTTCTCAATATGCTCCAAACACCTAATTGATAGTTACTCATGATCACCCTTTTTCTTTAGGCTTTGTCTATTTCACAAAACAGGGAAATTTTCCAAAATGCAAATTCAATGGAAACAAGAATTAACCAAACCTGGACAATTTGAATTCGTAATCAGCCAATGCAAAACGGAATCAAATTCCTCAAACGGAACAACAATGTGTGGGTACCGAAACTCTCTCCCTTTCTCTCACTTCAATTCATCTGGTGTCTCTTGGGGATTTGAATTCCGAATCTAGGGTTCTGTGATCTGTATATGTGTATAGATGAGTATGGAAATCGCGGTGGATGCGGCGTCGTTTGATGTCGAGTTGTTGCAACTTACGGAGGTGTCCCCTTTGGCCCTCAAATCGAATCCAAGCTACGTAGAGTCGCTGTTTAGGTAGTGGCTTTCGCTTGCCGGAGGAGGAGGGGAGGCGGGGAGCGTGCGGCTATGTTGGGTACAGGGAGAGGGGCTGGATTTTTTTTAATTTGTTATTTTCTCATTTTATTTCTTATTTTTAAATTTTTAAATTTCTTATTTTCTATTTTTAAAAAAGAAAATTACGATTTGACTCCTAATTTGGACGGAAGTTTGGATGGAAATCTAAAAAATTTACGACAAGTCCCAAATTGGCTATTTGTATATGGTTGAAGTCCTTAATTTAACAAAAAATAGATCATCAGTAAATTGACAATTTTGATTTAGTTCACAAAGCAAAACTGCATTTAAGTCTTGAAAATTAGTCACAATGTATTTAAATGAGGGGTTTGAGGCGGAATTTTGGGCTAAGATGGGACACCAAAGTTTTGCCTGGAGCTAGATGGCACTTAAAATCCAATATTGCTTAAGTGCTCCGTTTGGCACACTTATAATGAGATTTGTGAATTCATGGAGGGATTTTAGAGCTTGAGACCTCATCTTAAAATTTCACCTAAACAAATGTTATCTGAGACAGTTAGGTTTAAAGAAGAAAACCCCACAACTATCACCACAATTATTGCCACCTTTTGTTGGAATTTTAAAAATATTTTAAAATTTTAACCGTTTTTATTTATTTAATTATTTTGGCTGTTTTATTTTATTTATTGTGGGGTTGTACATATTTAATTTTCAGGTATTATTTCTATATTGAATGCCTTAATTTTATAGTTTAATGTGATGAAGGTTACATGTTTTTGAACGCTTATAAAATGCCACTCTTCCTTCACATTTGATACACCATTAGAATATCACATACCACAATCTGATTTTCTTATTTTCTACTTTTATATATATATTCTCTACTCTCTATTAGTATTTTTGGACAATGGTTATGTGACTTGGAAACATATCCGTCTGTGAACGTGCTCATAGCGGATCTTGAGTTTGTGTATTAAGGTCGTATCTTGAAGTCTTGTAGACCGTCAGTACCTGCATGTAGAGAGGTCATAAAGGCTTTAGGACAGTGTCTTTGACGTGCTTCACTGTGTCAAGCTCACCTTCTTACTTATGATTTATTTTGCTTTTACTTACCTATCAATTTGTTTTCTTTAGTTTCATTGTACCTTTGTATGTTATTTATAATATAAAGATTTTTGTATTTGGCTTTACGGAAAGAGGAAAAGTATATTTTTTATAACAATCTAAAGCCTTTGTATGTTAAAGTTGTTTTCTTCTCGTATTGCTAGCTTTAATACCTTTTAACTCTTTGATTGAAGCTTTTGCATTTGTATTGAATTTTCAAAATGAAAATTACGATTTGTTTTGGGTAGATGCAATTTAAAGCTTTCATGTTGTCTATACAATTTCAATTGCTTTAAATGTTTTAAATCTCATTATGATATTGTTGGTACATTTTATTGTCACTTATTGGGTCTGACCAATTTTGGTATCAATTTGATTTTGGTTTGACCAATTTTATATTTAATGGGTGTATTGATTTAGTTACTTAATATTTTGATAATATTATAGATATTTATGTTGCAAAAACGGGTAGAAAGGTTTATGAGATTTTTGCCATTGTTCTTGTTTTAAAATTAATTTTGAAGCAACCAACAACCATAAAAGCATTAGCTAGTTTAAGGCTGATACAACCATCAATTTTGGCTGATACAACTGTTTTGGAACCAACCTCAATTTATTGAGAATTAGATCTTTTTACATTTATGGAGAAATTTAATTTGACAATTCTATTGAGTGTTGTTATTTCCACCCACCTGTCCTATTTTCCCACCCACCTTATTTTTAACATTTTAAAGACAAATTTACCTATTTGTAAAATGACTTCTAAGGACAAAAACCTCAACCCATGACAAACTTTCTCTATTGACGACCATGGAGGGATATACCTAGATGTAGTGCCGACTCCCAATGCAACAACACCAACGCCTACTGCGCAGGTGACAGTGATCCTTAGAAAGGCTTGAAACATCTTTCTGTCACTCAGTAGGTGCCTGCCCAATTCAATATAAGAAGTAAAATACCTACCAATACCCTCACACACCACCAAAGAAAAATGAATAAAGAAGTAAATGAATGGGTAAGTTAATTCACACCATATACACTGAACAGAAGAGGAAGCATACAATACAATTCGTATAATTGATAACAATAAATTGAATGTGCATGAAAAGCAAACCTGCATAAAGAAGAAGAGGCTCATCGCAACCATATGCTTGCCAGACTGCACATGCTGAAATTCGACAGAGCGAAGTTGCAGAGCGAGCAACATTCTGAAAATATAAATGCAATTGTAGGCGACATACAACCTCATGGAATAGCGTCCGGTGATCAAAAGCACCAAAACTTAAAGCAAAATCAAGCTAATTATAAAGACAACCTCCCCAACCAGAGACCATTCCAGCATGGGTTATGGGTTAATAATCTGATTTGATCGCTTGCTTTTGCAGTTTTTTTTTTGGGTCTCTCTCGGAGATCTTAAAGTATTTAATTGATTCTTGTTAAACCCACAAGTGACCCATGTCGTTGGCAGGAGGAGGATGGGGGTGATGGGTCGTTGATGGGGGAAGTTTGTGTTGGGTTTGGGTTGGGTTGTTTATTTTTTATTTTTTTTTATAAAGTTTCAAGTTTTTTTGCTTGAATTAATAATTAAAGAGCATTTTAGGAATAATGGTGGGTGAAAAGATAGGATTGTATTTTTTCAAATCTATATAGTGAGTGAGAAAATAAGGTGGGTGGGAAAATAGAACAAGTGGTTGGCAATAGCAGTACTCTTTCAAGCCACAAAGAAAACCCATAAACAAAATAAATCCAGAAAACACAAGGGTCAAGCATGCAAAATGGGATCATGAGGAATTGATTGGATAAGGCAGCAAAGCGAGAAGAGTCCTTCTTTGGTACTAGAATCATTCCTGAGAAAGTGAGAGTTTCAACTGAGGGACAGACTTCTTTTTTTCTGGAAAACAAACAGCCATCGAAGAAGAAGAAAGATACGATTCAATTCGATTCGCTCAGGCGTCAAGCTCTCTCTTTGATTGATTGATTTCTCATTACACTTGTACATATAATGATCTTGCAATTTCTGTTGCTGTTGTTGTTGGTCTTCCTCGGTGTTCCTCCGTGTTTTAAGGGGGGTGGGATAAGGAGGGGGGAATGGGTTGCGAGAGAGAGGGAGAGATAGAGCGAGAGGGATTTTGAATTTGATTTTTTATTTTAAAGTTTATTTTTTATTTTCAGATTTTTTCTTCGAACTCGAAAGGATGCTTTTACCCCTCATGTTCACGGACAAATTGACAGATTTGGATGGCAGGACCTAATTGCAACTGTTTGTCCAGTTAAAGGATGTAATTGCCACACAAAAAAGTTCACAGACCAAATTGCAAATGGGGGCCAAATTCAGGGACGTCTACAATAAATAACCCTTTTTCATATATAGCAGTTCCATTTGTTTTTTTTTCGACTTCAACGATAAGCTGCTTTGGTCAAAGCAACAGCTGGAGCCAAGGCAGCAATACTGCATCGCGCCCTTTTCTAACGGTCTGGTAACTGCCACTATGACCCGACGCATTTATATATATACGCAGGCCATCAAACAAACACTTCATAGGCAAAAAAGAAAAGGAAAAAAAAAAAAGTTTGTGTTGTTCAGAGAGAGAGCGAAAGAGAAATTGAAGGATGAGGAAGAGAGCAGCGTTGTTGCTGGTGCTATGGCTGGCTATGTCGGTGGGGACTTGGGGTGAGGATCAGAACGCCGAAAACAATGATTCATGGACTGGCTGGGCCCGTGACAAGCTCACAGAGTAATTTCTTCATCTTTTCTTTTTCTTATTTACTTTCAAGTTTCTTCCTTTTTTGTGTGTGCATATAATGAAATTGAACCATCCCCTCCTTTGATTTCCGTTCTAAATTAAACAACCATGCATTTTCATGCACGGGAAAAATTTTAACAATCAAGCTACTGGGTCTGGTACATTGTCAATATTTTTGTTAGTTGCCAATTCTGTGCTGATGTAATAACAATTGACATGGACCGAATATCAACAACGTACCAGCTACGGTAGATTGGTACACGTACCAACCAAACCAATCACTTTTTGGGGTCCTGAACTGCAAAGTTGGGTCATCCGACCACCATTGTCTCTTGTTGGGGTCCTGAACTCTGATGGTTTGCCCTGCCCCCCAGTTGGGTCATCTCTCTTGAACTAGATTTCTTTTCTGTTTTTTGGTTGGGCTTGAGACAGTTTACTAAACTCCGACGGAGCTTTAGATTTGTCTAACCCTTATTGTATTTTGCTTCTGTTCTGTGTTCTTGCTGGTTCGGCCAGCTGTGTTGTATTTGCTTCCCGTTTTGGGCTTTTTTAATACAACAATCTCTTTCAGACCAAAAAAAAAAAAAAAAAAAACCAATCACTTTTAACCAATTTATGTTTCCTTTCCAATATACTCTGAGTAAATTTAGGTTTTAGCCACACAAAAATTTTCACTTTCGGAAAAAGCCAAACTTTTTTCGAAAAAGACTAAAAAACCTCTCAACTTCAAACCAAAGACATGCAAACGTAAAGGATTCCTTAAAAAATCCAAAAATAAATAAGGGTAATTTTGTCAATTTTGACTTCTTTTAAAAATTTTCTCTCACCTTTGGTCTTTTCCAAAGTTTCTTGGATTTTATAGTTGATGAAAATAATGGTTGTTTTACTTTGTCTTGTGAATGCTTATTGATCATTAACGTTGTGTTGTGTTCTTTAGGGGAGTTGGACTCAAAGGTGGGGAAGCAGGCTCTAAGTCCGCTGAAAGAGCGAACAAAGCAGCCTTCGTTCAAAAGTTTTTAGAAGGAGCTATATACTCTCTTGAAAAACATCAAACAGCCAAAGCTGAAGAGCTGATGAAAGGAGCTATGGAGTATCTTTATCATGATAACACAATAAAAGATAAAGCAGCCAAACTTGAGGAGTTCATGAAAGAAGCTATCAAGTATCTTGAGCAAGATATGGTAGAAAAAGCAGAAAACGTGGTGAAAGGCGCTGTGATGTATCTTAAAGGCGATGACGAAGACAACGATGAAGGGAAGGGGAAAAGAGCGAAATATCTTGAAAAGGATGAAAAGGAGAAAGTAGCAGCAGGAGTAAATAAAGCAACCCTTGTTGATTCGTTTCTGGAAGGAGCTTTAGCCTATCTTGAACAACACCAAGGGGCGAAAGCTATAGATATTATGCAGGGAATTGTACTGTATGTTGCTCAATCTGACGAAATAAAAGATAAAGCAGCCGCTGCTGAAGAGATGATCCAAGGAGCTTTGACGTATCTTCAAGAGGACAAACTAGAGAAAGGTACGGAGATGATCCGTGAAGCTGCGAAGTATCTTGAAAACGACGAGGATTACAAAGCAGCAATTGGCAAGGGGAAAGGAGCGAAGTATCTTGAAAAAGGTAATGCAGAAAAAGGAATATTGAAAGCACATTTTGTTGAAGAGGTTCTAAAGGGAGCTATGTCCTATCTTCAAGCAAATCATTTGGTCAAAGCTAAAGACGTAATTCAAGGAGTGCAACAGTTTATTGCTCAGGATAATACATTAAAAGATAAACGTGCCACAGCTGAACAATTGCTCAATGGAGCTTTTGGCTATCTTGAACAAGAGAAATCAGGGAAAGCGCAAAAAATAATCCAAGAAGCGATAGACTTGAAAATGACAAGGATGTCAAAGAAGCAAATAAAGTCTTTAAAGAAGC